CACATATTTGGTCATGATGTCACTGTCTAAACGTCATTGGATCATATATTTGGTCATGACGTCTAAACGTCATCGGATCACATATTTGGTCATGACGTCACTGTCTAGACGTCATTGGATCACATATTTGGTCATGACGTCACTGTCTAAACGCCATTGGATCACATATTTGGTCATGATGTCAAAGTCTAGACGTCATTGGATCACATATTTGGTCATGACGTCACTGTCTAAACGCCATTGGATCACATATTTGGTCATGTGATCCAGGCTACGGTAGGAAAGAGGAATATCAACATTAGCATGAGAAAACCTAAGTTCAGAAACAGTCTTATAAATTAAATAATCTACCAGTTTTTACCAGTATTAAGGAATGATTGACTTAAAACAAGCTTCAGTTTCTTTCTGAAAAGTTACTTGTATGTTAGTTTGTCTTATTTCAAATGTTTTAATATATTTGTACTAGAAACTAAACAAAAATACTTGCTAAGACTTTGTGTTTTTGCAGTGTCCAACCCTGGCCATTTCCAGTAAGCTTCACAGCATTGAACTGGCCATACGTCATGGTTAAAAGTCAGCGACTGGGTGAAATTTAAAACGTCAGCAGAGACCACGCCTCCAGGAAGAAATAGCTTCTCAACAGACCCTCTGTATGAAGCAAATACTGTACAAGAAGACATTAAAGTACTAATGGACATCAGATAAACAATGCTGGTCAGAACTGGAGCAGAAATTACAATGCTGACTGAGTTTTGAACAAGAGACCTCTGGTGAATTATGGGCAGACTGGGATAATGGCTGAGCAGTTTTAATTCCTTGCAGTGGCTGGCTCTCATGTCACTTCACCAAATAATCTTCACTGAACTCAAATTTGAGAGGATTTCACCAAACGTAACATCATCTCCTTCCTTCCTACACTATTACTTTACTGATTGTTCTTGTTCTTTTACTTCAAACCATTTTAGTAAAATTACTTTTATTTTTCATTACAATTTTGAAACAAACTACCTACTCAAAAAGGAAAATATCAGCTTTTTACTTCTTGCGGGGTTGCACAGGGAATCCCGCCTATGTGGTTTAAATGTAACTTTTCTATATTAACACCACATCTTTTATAAAAACTGTAATGATGGAAACATTACTTTTCTACTTTGTTCTGCTTAGACAAATGTCAGATTTCGGGTAAAAAAAATCTCTTCCTGTTGCACGTTGACACGAAAATCAGGTTAACCCTGAAGACTGGGTTGCTACTGCCCTCTTGTGGAAGTTAAATGAAACACAATCTTTCATCTTCCATTTAAATTTAATTGCTACTATTCTGGGTGGCAAAATGCAAGAGGTACAATGCAGTTTATTCAAAATGTACACACAGCAGTAATACACAAAAAAAAGGCAGGATAAAATTTCTTTAATTTGAGAACAGTAATACCTTTGTGAGGTGATTTCTCACGAAGCTTTGGCTGCATCCTCAGTAGAGCAGCAGCTCAGCCAACACCTCTGTTTATTGCCGTTTCCATGTTGCTGTGTGTGTACTTTGCACCAGAAACAAAGCTGCACAACTCTTTTTTGTTCAGAGTTACTCTAATGAGCTCCAGTATATGGTAATGAGGTAGGAAAAACTAAAAAAAGTCAGCTGCCACATTGTTCACTTCACTTGGACCGCAGCAAGGATCCACAGCAGAACGGAGGAGAGTTTCTGGAAAGGCTTGTTAAGAAAATTGTGATCACATGTTTTGCTGTGTCGACTTTTCTCACACTTTCTTTCTCCTGTCACGGGGCTGATCAAAAGGCCCGAACACAAATGTGTTCATGTAATACAGGATAAATTAGACGCAATAAAAGTACACTACATAACCTTTTATAGAGTATTATTGAAACAAAATAAGTTGGAACTGTGAAGAAAGCTTTCTGGAATTTGAGCAGCCAAAAAAAAAAAAAAGAACTGGCACCTATCTGCAAATTAATGTTTTTCCTTTTGGCTGGATGAAAACAAAACTAATGAACATCTATTGTGCAGCACTTAAGTTTGCTGATGTATGTTTACCATTTTTTCCAGTTTGGCCCAGTTGTGGAAAATACAGTCAAGCTGAATCAATTGCAGACAAAGATAGTTTTAGATTTTTTGAGGCGTTCATAACCTAAAAAATAAGTGATTGTTTTCCAAACAAAGAGGGGAAGCAGAATTTAGTAACTCGCTTCGTCTTGCTTCGATATTTCTGATCTTAGACTAAATTTAAGTACAAAATGTTTCATTCCGACAATCATTTGTGGCTGCTGGTGCTATTTAGATCCCAGGCAGAAATTAATTCAAATCTACAACCAGAGATGCCAAACTCATCTTCATTTTGGGTCATATTAAAAATCTGAATGCCCTTAAAGGGCCGGTTGTGACAGAATGTATCGATAAAACCCATTAAATTGATAAAATATCAATAAACAGCTGTTTGTTTCAGCATTCAATAAATGTTTCTTAAAATATAATATAGAACATCTTTTCCATCCAGGATTTTGATTGTTTCTGTGTTTTATTGCAATAAAAATCACAGATTTTGTGATGCTAATTTAGAATAATTTGGAAATAATTTTTACATTATTTGCATTAATGTATGATGTTAAATGTAGCTTTTTATTAATCTCCGTATCGATCACAGATATAACTTAACATCTAGTAAGGCTGATTCAGCAGTCACTTAAACCCAAAGTTTTTCACGCATTTTGAGAAAAATTTGCAGTAAAATCAGGGGAAAAAAAATTGGAAATCTGTTAATTTTGTGTGAATTTTGCAGATTTGTGAAAAACTGGAGGGACTTATTGATGATGTAATTTGGAGTCTAGAGGGCCACATAAAAATCTACGGTGGCCCAGATTTGGCCCGTGAGCCTTCAGTTTGACACCTGAGCTTTAAGCTAAGGGTCCTTTCCCCCCAAAAAAACTAGGGGATTTTTTTTTAAATTTTGAACATTTGCATATTTAATATATTAAAACCAAAATATTTAATTGTGACTAAGAAAGTAGTGAATGAGAAAAAACTCCTCCACATCATGATGTTGCATTTCTATGTTCACTGTGAAAATGATGTGATGACGATGCAAAGTGTTGGTTTTTCACCACAAAAGACAAAAAGCGGCATTTTTGTCTCTTCTGATCAGAAAATCTTCTCTACTACGTCCACTGCGCCCCCTAGATGTTTAGCTGCGAACTACAAATTTGACTCCTTCAGAATTAGTTTTCTTGCTTTCCTGTCCATGGACTCCAGATTTGTGCATAACTGGATGGAAACGCTCACAAAAATTAACGTGTTTGTTTTTTTCACAGGGGTGCATAAAATAAGATGGATAAAAACACCTCATATGGGCAGTAAAGTAACATTTAATAGATACATTTAAGATGCACTGAAAAAACAAGACGATTAAAGTGCATCATATTCATCTGAGGCGGGACATTTTAAAGCAACAGCTATTTCAAAATATCTAAAATTTATCACTACAAAACCACTGTGCAGCCTCTACGGCTATAGTGTTAGTCAAAATAAAGCCAAAATATTTGAAAAATATCAAAAGTGACCTTTTGAAATACATGTGTCAAACACAAAGCCCGGGGGCCAAATCTGGCCCACCATTGATTTTTATGTTGCAAAATCAACAAATCACAAATATTGCAAAATTCCTTGCAAATATTTTTGCAATTTATGGCAAAAAATTACATAAAAAGTACACCCTGAATGGATTGATCAATGTGAAAAACTGTTAAATATGGTTTAATTTTAAGAAGAACTTATCAAATGCAGACAGTTCGAACCATTTCCTTATCGGGTTTATCAATACTTGCTGGTAAAACTGGTCCTTTAAGGACATTTGTGAAATAGTTAATGTTTGCAGAATCTAAAATTCTTTTCTGCTATTCCATATTGTTCTGACTTTGCTCCATTTGGTTTGATTTCCACAGGGCTTTTGAAACCGCTTCTTCGTTTTGTTGCCGTTGTCTTCCCGCTTTTCTCACACGAAGAAAAGGAGCGAATCAAACCACTAAGACAATCAAAGTGAAATTGATTTTGTTACAGTGAGCCCAGGAGCAAATTGAGCACAGTGCTGGGATTTTTCTATTATTTGGCCCATTAACAAATATCATGGCCCATCATTTGTTTCAATCCCTCAAATGTCACGAGTGTCTCAGAGAGGAATTACTTGATGAGGAAAATGGGCAAATCATCCATGCAGGAGAAAATGATATAAGTGTCATGTTTGAAAAATGTCTCCTTCACTCCACACTGGCGTGAAAAATAGATTTTACTCTCAAGTTTGAGAGAGAAAAAAAAAAATCAAATTTTTGCCTGATGGATAACAAAACATTTAAGCTATAAATTAATAATTTTCTTAAAATTAGGTCGGTTACCTGTGGGATTGTGCAAACAGAAGAAAGACAAAACCAGTCATTTAAAATGCCATTTATGTCACAGACTTTAACAATCTAATACAAATTCATACACATACATGTCACCACCTAAAAGCACATTTCTAATGCAAATAACAGTCACCATACAAACAGAAAAAAAGAGTTGTTGGCTTGGGAGGGGTTATGAGGTTATGAAGAAAATCACATGCTCTCTCACACACACACACACACACACACACACACACACACACACACACACACACACACTCAATATGACCCTTTTCAACTACGTCACTTCAAGGCGCCATGACGGACGTCGGAAGCGAGGGACGTGAGTCTTGAACTGAGCGACTGAAATCGTTTTCCCAAGTTGTTCTTGCCAGTTTATTCATGGCTTCTACTAGTTGGAGTCGAGCTAATTTGTCTGACCGTAACTCACCTGGCTGGGGCTCTCAGACGGCGGGATTTACAAGAGTTATAAACAGCTAGCTTAGAAACCGACCCGAACCTCCTCCCTCCTGACGTGTTGACCAAATTACCGACTTTGTCTGAATTCACACCACATGATTTAAATCACTATGTCATAAACAGTGTTTCCCCCTTAAACCGGAGCGGCGTTAAGAACGTACAAAAGACGAGACGCTAACCAGTTTTTTCCATATAAGCTAGGCTACATGACGGTGCGGCACCGTTTCCATGGTTACTAACCGTCAGACACGTACTTTCTTACTTCTTACCTTGTAAAAAGTGCTCGCTGCAAATCCGCGGTTACACCGAGGGCTGCCGCTCATTATTATTGACAGCTGCAAGTCATTATGATTAACGGCTGCTGCCGTGTCTCTCCTCATTAAAAGTCATAAAATAAAATGACAAGTTTGGTTTCTATCCTTCTCTGTTTGCGCAGCACCCTGTGACCACTTTAAAGTTAAATCAACTAACAGAAGCGATACATTAGGTTACAGGTGTCTGTTTTTAGACCGGCTTTACCGGAGCGCATTGGTTGTTTTGACGTCCGTCATGGCGGAGTTCTGGAGAGCGTGACGTCACGTGGAAAGGGTCAATAATAATGAGCCGACATGATACAGTATTTGAGAGGTGGCAGTAAAAAAGGGCATGTGGAGGAAGGAGGCTGCTTACAGTACACGGTAAGAAAACGGGGACAGGTTGCCATTCAGAGTGAAACACGGTTTTTACAGTTGAGCCAACAAAACTCTATATAAATATTCTTCATCCAAAAGTCAGTGCAGTGCCTTCTGCTCAGGCTTTACACCCAGTCTGTGCTAGACCTGGTCCACTAATTACTGCTTCCACTTTAAGCACAAATCGTTTTGTTTGTTTGTTTTTTTTAAATCTTTGATTTTTAAACTCTCTCAGTGGTTTCCGTGTCTGGTTTTCTTTTTTTTTTTAAATCACCCAGTACCTCAAAAGTCCAGCTGTGAAGTACAAGAGTTTGCCTTTTTTCTTCTTCTTGTTGTTGTTTTTTAAACCAATTGGACAACAATAAAAAAAAGGAGATCCACAAATTTACAAATGTCCGTTTTGTTGTTTTCTCCTGAATTCCCTTTTTGTTCAAGAAAAAAAAAGCGATTTGCAAATGAAGCACTTCTACTGGATTCCCCGGAAGAGACACATGGCAAAGACCATGGCGAAGAGCTGGAGGGAAAACGAAGCAAACGGTCACAAGATGCAATTATTTCAACCAAAATAACCCAGATTAATTCAATTTATCACTAATTAAATCTCAATATTCCTTCTGGAACATATTTTTTAGAGGTTTATTTGTGTTTTTGTCTTTGGTCTTCATTGCTGCTTTGACAGAAAAATGATTCTTTACATTATTTTTGTCCAAAGTTATGAAGAAGGGACTTAAAAAAACAACTCAAAGTAGCACATGTTGTGAAAAAATGGCTTTTTACAAAAAAAGGGTGACATGCATTGTATTCAACCCCTAAATAAAAAATAGTGACGCCAATTGTTTATAAAATCACCTTATTAGTAAATTCAACTAATTGAAAAAAACCCCAAAACATTAATAACATTAAATTTAATGTCCCCAAGTCTTAATATAAGTTCTGCTTATGTGCATGTATGCACAGATATAAGCATATGAACTTACATGAACCTATATATACATCAATGTACCAGCAAATACAAATTTACTCTATAATCTAAACATCAGAGCTTAATATACATAAACAAAAAAAAAACAGAAATAACATTTTATCAGATTTTTTGTGCTAAAATTGATGTTGAGACATTTTCCATCTTATGTTGACAGATTCAAACCTGACTGTAATCAAACATAGTTTTATACTTTTAATACTTTGAGAGTTTTTCTCTTTTTCAAACTTTCATTTATTCCCTTTTTTGAGGGATAAATTTTTTTTTTGGATAATGTGTAGTTGGACTGATGTTTGTCAATATTTTTTATACTTTTCCATTTTGTTGTGATAGGTAACCATAGCAACAGGGTAGGATTTGATTTTACGTTGGGATCAATTTTTGAATGTTGAAAAATGAATATTATCTTTAAAATACAGCTCTGGAAAAAATTAAGAGGCCAGTAAAATCAGAGAAATCAGTTCATTGAGTTTCATTCAGTTTCTCTGATTTTACTGTTTATAGGTCTATGCTTGAATAAAATGTTTGAGTAAAATGAACATTGTTGTTTTATTCTATGAACTACTGACAACGTGTCTCTGATATTCCAAGCAAAAATTTAGTATTAGCAGAAAAAGAGAAATGGCCAAAATAATGAAAACGATGCAGTGCTTTCAGACTTTAAATAATGCAAAGAAAACAGATTCAATATTCATTTAGAAGCAACAATACCAATGTTTTAACTCGGGAAGAGTTCAGAAATCAATATGTGGTGGAATAACCAGCAGGTTTTCAATGGGCGTCGGTGCAGTGGGCTCTTAGTTTTTTCCAGAGCTGTATGTCTTCCTGTGATACTGAGCATCACCACAAGATGGCGATCTTTCCACAGCTCTCTTGACAGGTTCGGTGCCTTAAACTTAAAAGCAGTGATGCGATTCAAAAATAGACATCCTGATCATTTGGGCAGCAGGAAAAGAAGCCCAACATTTCAAAAGTCCCTCCTACCTCGATGGTTAACACCACGATAGCCAGCGCTCCAGCGACGTAGATGTACACCTCGAAGTAGTCGACCACGGCAGAGTAGCAGCCCTAAGAACACACATGTGGACGACATGCGCCGCAGTGAATCAATAGGCTATAAATCTGCACAATTACAGAGATAGTTAAGGCGACATCACGGCTTCAATAGAGCGAGGATTGGAACAAAGGCCCGGCTGAACGAGTGGGAAGCGGGGCCTGCAGCCTTTTAATGAGGACTCTTTGTGTGAATAAGCAGAGCTAACCGCACACACACACACAGACACACACCATCTCTTTATCACGATGGCATGGAAAACAACAGGTGGAGGGAAAAACCTCCCTATACCTGTTATCACTGTAATTGCATGCAGAGCTCACTCCTGCACACATGAAATAACAGATTTAGGAGTGAATTCTCACATATTTTTAATTCTCAGCACGCTTTATTTTTATATTCTTAACAGGCTTTATTTTTGAGCACATATATCCTCCACAAAACCCTCCAATTTAAGCATGTATGCAGAGGCTCATCTGTAAGCTGCCATCTGCGTGCTGCACATGACCCACCGTGACACCAAGACTGAACAGCACTAATAAGACATGGCAGAGACAGGCAGTCCCCGAGTGCATTTATCTACTGTTTTATGCTCTAATTAGGCCTGGAGGAGGTCTAGAACCAGGCTGAGAGGGGAAACGCAGTGCCAAAAGATACCTTGTTGCGGATCACCGTATTGCCGGATAGGCACTGCTCCTGGCTGGAGTAGACCCTCTCTTTGCTCTGAGGAATGCGCTGGCAGCAGGCTTCTGGCACCATGTGATTCTGGTTGTTGAGCCTGAACAGGCTGTCCTTAAAGTCCTCTGGGCTGTTCACTCCACAGCAGTCAAACTGAAAGGGAGAGGAAGAAGTTGCATTTGCTGAGCGCCTATATGCGCAGTGACCTGCGGTCGGCTGTGTGTGGGCGCCAACCGAGCAGAAATATTGACCTAAATATAGCCAGCTAGCTCTGAGTCTGTTTCCACGGACTGTCAGCAGAGTGTCAGAAACGGTGATGAGTTTTGCTCACCGTGGTCATGATGGCGTTCCATGTGGAGGTGAAGACGTCGCTGTTATTGTAGCCCTGATAATGACTCTTCAGCTCCTTGGTGAAGTACTCTCTGGTCAGCTAGATCAGCAAAAAGAGCAGAGGTCAACCAACGCCATTAAAACCTGAAGCAAGAACGCACGATGACCAAAACATTTGTTAAATTTTCAGTTGGAGCGGTTCGCTTTCACACAGCACTGAATCAAACAAACTAAACCCTTTAAAAACCTGCTCTCCTCCAGGCCTGTGGGGGTGCTGCAACAAGAACCACTGAAGTAAACAACACAAAAATCAACTTTCTTCATCATAAGTATCTGATCTTTCCAAATGTGACCCGAGTCTGAACGCGTGCATCTGGCCTGGCCGCTTGGAGAACCAGAGGCAGGAAGTCGACAAAATTCACTATTGTGTCCTGATACGACCAAGTGGGAAGAAAAACAACAACCATGGTGGACTGTAATGAGGATTAAGTTGTTAATGTGCTGGCTCTGGTTGGATAACAACTTTAAAATCGTAAGCTAAGCTCCACCGTTAGCATCCGTGTTTACTTCTGCAAACACTGAGCGCGCTCCCTGTGTGACGTTACTGCGCCCTCTACTGACACTTTCAGGTCGTTTGTAGTAGAGACCACATACAAGTCGTATATATTTTTGGAAGTGTGAACGACCACGCCAAAAAAAAAAAAAAAAAATCTGCATTACATCGTTTCAGGCTGCAGTGTGAACGAACAGAGATTTGTAGATTTGTAGGGAAATCGCATCAGAGAACGATTGTACATTCAAACCTCCCAAAACAAACCTGATGTAGGAAAATGATCTACAGTTCGATTACAGCGGACCAAACAGGAACTTTGTGCTTTTCACCAACACTTCAACACAAGATGAAGCTCTCTTTTCTTTTTCTGTCTGTGTGTGTGGTTGAAGGGCCGGTGCTGCGGGGGTGAAAATCAGCCCACCTCCGTTTCAGCCCTGACATGCCAAGTCACAGCTGATTACGTTCAGCGAAAGCCGACTTACTCTGCGGGAGGAAGAAGTGGGGCAGTTATGACGTTTGATTTGTGTGACCAGCCAGCAGCAGGATTTCAAACCAAAAAAAGAAATTTCATCAAGAAAACCAAAGACGACAAGATTTATAATTCAAATTTGAAGAATTTTATTGGTCACACTGAATCCGTCCACCATGACTGTTTTGTTTTTAGATGTTGACAGGGAGACATCCATCACGGATTTATGTGCAGAGCTGACATTGATGCCGCACCAAACCTCCCGTTTCCCCCAAACTGCCAGCATCGTTTCTAAAAGCTTCACAGCTGTGCAGGAAATTTCTGTCTCCACTCTGGATCTGTGAATTGTCGGTAGGAGCTTCGCAGCTTTATGATGGAAAAGTTTGAGAAAGAAAGAGGATTAAGGCTGGGCTTTTCAACCAAAAAATATTCAGGTGAGGCTGGAATTAAAACCAGGAGGAGAAACGCCTCGTTTCCAGCAGCTGCTGCATTTTCATTACAGATGTGCGTAAAACTCTGTTGATATTCCGCTAATGTAAAAAAAAAAAAAAAACTATTTTCAATTGTGATATTTACATTAAATAAACACAAAGAGAGTTACAGGTGATTAAGTTTGTTCAATCGGTAAGTAAAAACAGATGCCGTGTCATCATTCTACCACTGCACTGTAAAACATTTACAGGTGGTTTAACTTGAAAATAAAAGTCCACCTGCTGCCTGGAAAATGCAATTTAAGTCGACAAGAAAACTGTTTTGGTTTAAACTGAAATTAAAGTTCATGAAGTTGATTTAACAAGAGACAAGTTGTCTAAACTTTGTTTTTTAATTTCATTAATCTTGAATTGTGAGTTTTAACTTAATGTTGCAATTTAAACCAAATAATTATTTTACAAATATGTCCTCACATAGTTAAAGAGCCACATTTCTCTATCATTTTACTCATAACATCAAGTTAAAATAAATACTGATTTTACTTTAGAATAATTTAAATTCTTGTTTGAACAAAAGTTCTGATCTGATGATGAATTTTATTAAACATCCCAATGAATTCAGCTCAGAAACATTTAGTGAGATCAGGACATTATCCTCAAGCTTTGCTGACTGAGAATTGCATTAAAATGAACATTTGCCTTAATAAAACACCAGAGTCAGATCAACGTAACGCACTTCCACCTCAGGAGACAGAAATATGCCGCTAAGCATTCTGGGAAATAGCTCCCACTCCTGTCTTTCTCTTCTTTCAGTTTTTTAAGTGCAAACCTAAAAACTCAGTTTATTCAACTCTTGGAGGTTTGACTAAAATAAAAAGTTAACACAACTTACTGCTGTAAGTTTATCTTTCACAAACTCACATTTAGGTTCAAAATCTGAAACTGGATAAATTTATTTAGATAGTAGACACAACTAAATGCAGCTGAAATGTTTTACAGTGTTCCTGTCATCTTTTTTGCCAATATTTTAACTTCCGGTCGATGATCACGACTTCTGTGATGTGGAAAAAACAGTTTTGTGAAATTGTTTTGATTTTGATAAAGCTGAAAAACCGCCTCAAGCTAACGCAAAATCCACAATCAAAAATGTAAGTTTTTCTGAAATCTGCACGTTTCCATTTAACAAATTTATGTTCGTAATTCCATTTTATTACTGTTAACTGCATCTTTAACGCTGTTGGTTTGTCTGGTTTTCTTCTAAAAGCTCCAGAATCTTGTTGGACAGGACGTCATAATGAACTCTTTCATTTTAAAGTTGAAATCTGTTGCAACACACAGTACCAGTCCTTCATTCATTTAAAACCTGCAGGTTGAGCTGAAAGAGCAAAACCAGGATAATTTAGAGAAATGTAGATGCACAGCCATAGATTTGTCTCTCTGCCAGTTGGTACAGCAGACGATGAAACGCTCTCCTGTTGGCTGCTGACACCAGCGGCACAAACTGGTAATTTAGCTAAAAACTGTTATTTCCTAACGCAGGATTTTCTTTTTTGTCACAGAGTGAAATTAAAGGTTACATTTCCCAGATAACACTGAAATTAAATTACTGAATTCAAAGTATATTTCAGCTGTAGTTCAGTTTATGGACTTATTTATATTAATCTCACTTAATTCATTCTTTAACTTTAAGGAACTTTTTACTTTGACTTTACTTGAAACTACTGAGGTCAATGACAGGTTTGCATTTCTGACCAACTCAATTTATTATGTTTTTGTAGCTTAATTCATTAACTGTGTTTAATACGACATATTTAAGTCCCTCTTAGTCAAATCATGTATTCTTTTCTAATAAATAATTCAAATCTCTTTGACTTAATTCTACAAACTTTTACGTTGTTCCAAACTAAAAACTAAAATATCATTCACATATTACTTAAAATGCAGCTAGAATTTAAATTATTTTAAATGTTTTAACATGTTATTTTCAAAGATCCTGCACACTGAAAAAAAAATAATAAAATATAATCAACTTAACTGAATTACTTGTTATCAATTGAAGCAATTCAATTAAGTTGATCCAACTAATTTCTTTTTTCAGTGTAGGATGATGAACACTTCTTCTTTTGACACCATTTGTTTGAACTAGGCCTGATATCAGTGTGGAAGCTGTGAAAATCCCCACTAAGAAAGATGTGAGGAGTCTAATAAAGAAGTAAAACTGATGCAAGCTGGTGCAACAGCAGCTGGGAACAAAAAACATTTAATGGAGGAAAGTGAGTTATTCGACAAATCGTTACTCTGCTTTGTCCCAGAGAGCCGATGGACTCGGCATCAAAGGTAACAAAATATCCCTGGTTTAGAGAAGAAAAAGGAATCCAGGGATTGAAACGCCGATCTCTCTCTCTGTCTGAGTAATCAGAATGCAGAAATGGTTCAAAGTCAAAAAGAAGCAAGAAGAGCTTCGACTTCAGGCTCGTTTGGACTCGTGATTGAAGATAGTAAGTTCCCTAAAGCGACTTACGTGTTCCCGGAAGATGAAGGCGAGGATGGCAGCGGCCAGCTCTGCCAGGAAGATGAGCAGGATGAGCATGAAGAACTGCAATAAAGTTAAATAACACAAAACCAGATAGTGTGAAAATTACTAGCTAGGTGAGTCAGGAAAACTGCACTCCAGGTTCTTGTAAAAAAACCAAATTACACACCGTCTGTGAACCTCTGAAGTCATCGTTAAAACATCACGACGAACAAAAGCACACAGATGGATTCGCTTTTGGTTGATTCAAACTCCAAAAATTAGGAAAAAAGAAAACGGAGCTGCACATGTTGTGATGAACTCACGAAGAGAAGCAGACACTTGTTCTCCCGAATGGCTCCGCAGCAGCCCAGGAAGCCCAGCAGGAACAGCATGCCTCCCATCCCCAGGATGATGTAGACGCCGGTGAACAGCAGGGGGTTGGCCGCTACAATTTCCCTGAACCCAGTGGGGTCCACCAGCACCCACACGCCCACGCCCAGGAGGAACGAGCCGCCCAGCTGCAGGAGACCAGAAAAGAGGTCACTTCATTAAAAAAAAACTAAAATTCAAACAAAATATTAGCCCTGGGCTGGTTAGTCAAAGGTGATCTATTACGCTTCACTGAACAAATTAGGATAGGTCTATGGTGTAGGAGTCAAAGTCGAGGCACGGGGGCCAAATCTGGTCCGCCGTAGTTTTTATGTGGCCCTCTAAACTCTAAATTACATCAGTAAGTCCCTCCACAAAATTCACACAAAAACACCACATTTTTTCTGATTTTATTGACAATTTTCTCAAAATTGGTCAAAAACTTTGGGTTTAAGTGACTACTGCTTCTGCCTTACCTGATGTCAAATTACAGTCTGTGATCGATACGGCGATTAATAAAAAGTCACATTTAACATCACACATTAGCGCAAATATCGTAAAAATTCCTTAAAAATATTTCTAAATTAGCGCCACAAAATCTGTGATTTTGATTGCAAAAAAAAAAAAAGCAAACAAAAAAAAAAAACACAAAAACAATCAAAATCCTGGCTGGAATGATCCGAGTGAAAAGATGTTCAATATTATTTTATTTTAAGAAACACTTACTGAATACTGAAAAAGCTATTTACTGATATTTTAACAGTTTAATTGGTTTTATCGATACATTCTGGCACAACCGGGCCTTTAACAACATTTAGATTTTTAATTTGGCCCAAAATGAAACTGAGTTTGACACCACTGGGTTTTGGGCTTGAAAAACATGTTCAATGCATATTTGGCACTAAATCTTCTCTGATAAGATTTCAGAGTGAGCTGCTTTAGGCCGTCTTGCCACTTTAAATTCAAACTCAACGTTTACACTCGCATGTGAAAATGGCTGCAAACAGGAGAGCTTTTATACAACCATACATCTTCGAAAAGCAGAAGTGGAGCCTCCTGCACAATCAACAAGAATCCTGAATAGAAACTCAACAACATTTGTCTTTTCCAGCAGCCATTGTAGAGCAGTAAAAACCAGTTCAGTTTATTTATATTGCACCAGTTCTCAGCAGTACAGTTAATCATTCAGAGTAGTTATAAACTTTCTATGTAAGAAAACCCAGCAGATTGTACTGAGTCATATAAATGACTTCCAGAGCAAAATAAGAGTTCAGGGTAAAAGAGCAAAGGTTTAGTTTCTCCAGTCATTATGGCTTAGAGGGGGGAGTGTAGAGACATCAGCCCTGCTTCAACCCCCCCCAACCTGCTAAAGCTCCCATCCTCCACCATCCTCCGTCTCTCCAAAATCCCATCCACCTCCACCACAGGCTAACCACTCATGTGATTAAGAAAAGCAGATACTGAGGTGGGGGAAAGATCAGAGCCTCCAACATTTCTACTGCAACCCTCTTCTTCCTGCAGCATGTAATGGAACCTGGCTGTTTCATTACAGTTTAGTTTTATTTCGGTCGTTTGTCTAAATCAGTTGGTTCCAGTTTTTATTAGCCATCATTAACTAAATGTTTAGTGTCTGTTTAGTTTTTAATGGTTATAGTAGTAGTTCATACTTTGGTAAAGTTTTGGTGCAGAATTAAAAAGATAAAAGTATTGTTTTGTGATTATGTGATTGGCTAAAGCTCATCACAAGATCCCAGTTTTAAAAAAGGTATTAAATTATTGTTGATCACCAACTGACTGGCGTTTTATAACAACTTCTGCTGTCGACTTTTTGCGATAGGAGGATTACGGAGCATCGTAATTTTACCGCTGACGTAAAATATTTGACTGAAAAAAAAATAATTTTCACATTTTGATGAAATGGAGCCAGACAAAATGTAACGTTTCAATCGTTCCCTGTGTTTCTATGGCTTCTTCTGATGTGAGGCACTTTGAACTGCCTTGTTGATGAAATGTGCTACACTAATAAACTTGATTGATTGACTGATTGATTTCACATCATATAGTCTAGTTAGTTATAGTTTCTTCCCATTATTTATTTCCTTTAACAAAACATGTTTCCTCGATTTCAGTTTTTGTAATTCTGTTTGATTTAGTTAACTAAAACAACCTTGCTTAGCTCAAATAAACTAGGGAATTATGGAAACTGGGAGTCATTTTCAAAGCTTTGGAGGTAAAAAACAATAAAGCAAAATAAAAAAAAGAAACAGAAAACATCCTCTCCTCTGCTCTACTGGCTGCTTTATCGCCCCAGCCTTGAACAATCGCATGTGAGTGGAGTGTCTAAATGGTTTGGATGCGCCTAATAAAGCAGGAAAAGACACAAACCTTCCCCACTCGGAGCCCGCCCTCCCCCCCACGGCTAACGGGATTACCCCTGATTGTCTTATCAAGTCTGATAAACTCAGGTGTCAGTCACCAGCTCCATATGGCACAGTGAGCCTCAGATGTGTGTCAGCACACTAAAATTTAATCAAAAGAGAATTTGATGGAATCAAGATTGCCTCGTCTAATGAAATGCAGATGCGGCTCCATTAGTCAGAGGCCCATCTTAAATCATTAACTTCAGAGGTAGCCATTTGAGAAAGAGATGAAAAGTACTTACAAAGATGAGAAAATTGAAGACAAACATGAGGTACTTGATGCAGCTGAGGCAGTCGCCCTCCATGGTCGTCCCCCGAGCTGAAGCCTCCCCCTGACCCTGCAGGGAAAAGCAGAAAACGCCGCGCATCAGTCCTCCATACGGCCGACAGCGCTCCGCTTGGACCTGTTTGCATTTTCATGAGTTCAACAAAACACCAAAGGCCAACAAATAAAAGACTGCACTGTAAAACATTAGAGCCGCATTTAGTTGCGTCTGCCATCTTCTACTCTGTAAGTCAAATAAATTTATCCAGTTTTAGGTTTTGAACCTAAATGTGAGTTTGTGAAAGATAAACTTGCAGCAGTAAGTTGTTAACTTTTTATTAATTTAGTCAAACCTCCAAGAGTTGAATAAACTGAGTTTTTAGGTTTGCCTTACAAAACTGAAAGAAGAGAAAGACAGGAGTGGGAGCTATTTCCCAGAATGCTTAGCGGCATGTTTCTGTCTCCTGAGGTGGAAGTGCGTTACGTTGATCTGACTCTGGTGTTTTATTAAGGCAAATGTTCATTTTAATGCGATTCTCAATCAGCAAAGCTTGAGGATAATGTCCTGATCTCACTAAATGTTTCTGAGCTGAATTCATTGGGATGTTTAATAAAATTCATCATCAGATCAGAAATTTTGTTCAAACAAGAATTTAACTTATTCTAAAGTAAAATCAGTATTTATTTTAACTTGATGTTGTGAGTAAAATAATAGAGAAATGTGGCTCTTTATTTTTTTCTTGCATATTATAAAATAATTATTTGGTTTAAATTGCAACATTAAGTTAAAACTCACAATTCAAGATTAATGAAGGTAAAAACAAAGTTTAGTCAACTTGTGTCTTGATGTTAAATCAAATTCATGAACTTTAATTTCTGAGTTAAAACCAAAACTATTTTCTTGTCGACTTAAATTGCATTTTCCAGGCAGCAGGTGGACTTTCACTTTCAGGTTAAACCACCTGTAAATGTTTTACAGTGCGTTAGCTGCTTTGCTTTAAATTCAGGTCCTTCTTTGCCAGATTTAATCTCCAAACATTCTCTAAAGAAATTAAACTCTTTGGCGATGTCATGATTCTTATCTTTTCCAAGAATATAAAAATGAATTAAGCTATAAAATTTATTCCAGAGTCAGATGACCGGCTTCCCTATCAGCACTTGACATATGGTGTTCCTCTGGTCTGTTGCTGAGCGTTTTAGGGACGTAATTCCTGACCGAGTCTCCTTGTGCATTAACCCAAAGGGACGGCTTTTACTTCAGAGCATCTTTTTGTTAATGTAATGAAAGGCAGAGGCTCCTGTGCGCCCGTCAGCTCACCCTCTACCTGACACAAACACACTTTACTTGATGAAGGTTCTTTCTCAAAGCACTCCCAGATAATGAAGAGCCCCTCTGGTGCATTAAGGGACGACATGGCCGTATCTGTATCCCTGACCCCGCACATAAAGTCAGCCACTAACTTCCTACAACAGAGGAACTACTTCAAATTTCTTAGAATAGAGAATAATGTTATGATCAAAAAATTCAATTGGCATTCACTGCAAAAATATAAAATCTTACCAAGTAATTCTGGTCCAGTTTCTAGTGCAAATATCCAGTGAGACAAAACTAATTTAAAAGTAACTTATTAGATATGTCAGCTTGTTATAAGTCAATAATTCCTCAATATTGATGAAAAAATTCCTGTTCTATTGGCAGATAAATTCACTTACAACATGGAAAAATGTCTCGTTATAAGTGAAATAATTTGCCAAAGGAAGTAGAATGTTTCTAATCAATATTAAGGAATTACTGACTTAAAACAACATCCTATATCCTTTGTTGAAACGTTATTTGTAAGTTAGTTGTGTCTTATTTCATGTGTCGTAAGATATTTGCACAAGAAACCAAAATTAGTTGGTAAGATTTTGTAATTTTGCACAGTCTGAAATCTGTAAGCTTGTTTCTTTTTTATTTTCAGACAGTAACAAATATTAAAAAGATGCACCTTTAGTCATTAGCCCTCCTTAATTTGTACTGAAAAGGTGTAAAAGTGCTCAAATTTGCAATAATCTTATCATATTCATAGGATTTCTACTTCTTAACCAACCATGTTGATATTTTGGAGGGTTTTAAATATTATTGAAGTAATTTACATTTTAATCAAACACACCAGTTTGAAGATGTTAGTTCAGTTAATCGTTATTCTAATTAATTGTTTTCTTGTTCCCAGTGGAGAATGATAAGGCTGATATGTTCCTACGGGTTGCAATAGGAGCCAAAAAGTCAAGTTGTTGAAAGTAAGAACCATCATAGATGAGGTTGAGAAAATTTCTGTGTTGGAGCAGAAATTAGTTTGTATTCTGGCTTAACTACTTTAGCAACAGCGCCACTTACAGGTTTGGGGGAGTAAAAACAGCATTTTGGTTCATCCTGTGTTGAAATAATTTCTGGGGCCTGAGTAAGTTGTTGCTGGGGAAATTTCAGATTTTAGTTTTGATTGGCATGAAATAATGTTAAACATCATCTTGCTTCTTCAATTTAAGACATTTGTCCCTGTAAAGTGGCTAATTTTGTAATATAACTGATGCTACAACAGAACCGCTAACTTTGGTTATCAGGGAAAAGGTTTACATTACATCCTGAATTATCAGAACATTCCAGCAATGCTCTTTTCTTTAGTCAAAAAAACTGTTTCTATTTAGTTTCTTTTAAAATATGAGGAACAACTAGATGGGTAAAAATGATCTTTATAAATAAAAATCAACTAATTAAGTTTATTTAGCTCACTAATCCAGTTTTATACTATACAACTAGAACACACCTGGTATTGTTAGTCATAAATCTGTAAGCTTCTCTTACAGCTTAGTCTTACCAACATGAGCTAAATGAGTTTGTCTTGCTGAAATAAACAAATCTTAATTGAAGTGGTTGTTGTCCGAACACTTTGCTTCAAGCCCTGCATGTGTCAGTCAGCGTTAATTACATCTTCACGTCTGAGTGGGCTTCACACCGTGTCTGCACTAATGCTCCCGTCACGCCCCACACCAACATCACAGACGCTGCCTTTTGATCTGCGCTGTTCGTCCATCTGCAATTAAGCCTAAAGAAAGCAGCATCCATGAATTTCACATTTGGTTCACACCAAACGGCGTTCAAATGAGCCCACAGAAAACGGTCTCTGCAGGTTGGTTATAAAAGTTTATTTTGTTTGGTCAGCATCCCTGCATGTGAAAAACTTCTTTGTGGTTACTTGTGTTGAGTTAATTTGTACGGAGTCCCTTAGGAGTCATGGGGAAAATCTTTATTTTGCATTACCGTATGGAGGACCAAAACTGACATGGTTAAAAATAAAAGCAGAAATCCATATTTTTTGTTTTTCTTCTTCCTTAAACATGTTTTCATCAAGAAATTTATACCTTTTGTTTTGTCTTTTCCTTATGCAAGCGATTGTCCTTTTGTCATTGCCTCATCTCTTTTATTTTTCCTTGTGCATGGTGTGAAAATAACAATCAAAGAATGCTTAAATACAAATGAGGGGCCGTGCCGTCAGGTTTCAGCTGCTGCCTATTGGTTGGTTAGCATCACACTTTACTTTGCTGCAACAAAAATGGCAGCTAAGTGGATGGAAAGTCCATGTTTGGCCTGTTTTGCTTTTGCACAGAGGTTTGTAGTGCATTTCTATTTTAAAGAAAAAGATATAAAACTACACGTATATCACAAACTATATAGGTGTAGTATATACACGTATAAATACATGGAAATACAAGGTTTTTCCATGTATATCAATATACATGGAAAAACCTTATGAAAACCTTATAGCATTAAGTACAATGGAAAAGACCTTCCGTATTAAATTATGGCGCTTGAGCTGATCAGTACATTACTACGAGAGAACGCAAAAGAAAAAACATCCGCCTTGTCACCTAGGGTGCTCCATAAATTTGCAGCAACCTTCAGCCACCACTAGGTGGAGTGTCAGCTTCCAGTTCCTGCTGATGTTTGGAGTTAAATATATTGTGTGAAAATATCAATTAGTTGCATTTTAACCCACTTTCCATCTGCAGTTGAATTAGATTTGTGTTTCTGAGTCATTGCAGTACATTTTATTAACGCTACATTTTAGCAATTAAACAAACGTATTTTCTTCTCCTCCAAGGATTTCTCTCCATACATCCTGCTAGGACTGGATGAGAGGCGATCTGTGGGGCAGCTGTGACTTTAAGGGAACACTTAATAATTTGTCAGAAACTAAACGACTCCCTGCTTTATTAATCTGTTGTTTTGTTGAGGTTGAAACTTTGTGACAACCAGATCAAAAAGCAGCTTCTCAGTGGAGTTGTAATAGATTTAATAACCGCCCACTGGAAGCCACTAAGCAGAAGAAAGAAAACAGAAACGTCTTCTTTCAGTCTCTTGTTGGCCGGGCTTTCCACTGACACCTGGGTTATGATCAATGCTGGTCTGATTCCTGTCAAATATGATCTCACTTTACACAGAAATTCACCTTTGAGGTGAAGCAAACCCAAAACATTTGCCAAACATTTGCCTCAAGTCCAGGACTCACAGAGAATCGAAATTGCATGAATAATTAATTAGAACAAAAGCCTCATCTTTTTGTCTTTTAATATTGCATGCTTGCGTTGGTTTGTTTTTAACTTGCTGCAGAGTATTGATGTGTTTTGAGCCACAGAGAAAGCTTTTTCTTTGTCTCGCTGCCAGCTTGTGTAAGTTGCCGTGACAATCAAATTGAACCAATCTAAAGATACTGAGACTCTCTTTGTCTGGTTTGGGGATGATTTAACATACAATGAGAACTATTACTTTCCTCAGCAACCAGAGGGTGTATTATGTTTTCCCATAAATTACGTAGCTGATTTAGAGTGACGGTTAAATACTTTCTGTAAATCCTAACAATATGCTCACGTATTGATTACCCTCGGAGTGCTACTCTGAGCTACCAACCACCTCATTGCCTGAGATGGGTTTTAATTAACTCCATCTTTTCCTACATCCAACTGAAAGGCCTAATGAGGTCACAGTAGGTTTTAATTGAGATCTGCATAAATTACTGTCTCGCAGAAAAGCGAGGG